TTGGAGTGACCTGTTCTCCAACAAAATTTGCCATAGCTCAGAAATCATTACTAACATATTTCAGGTGTGCATGGTTTTCTGTGTTTTACAGTAATGGTGGTCGGCTAAGAATATATGAAAGTCATATATTTGAACTGCGGAAAAGACGTGAATGAAAGTGATCCTCGCAGTAATGTGCACTACTTGAGCAGTAGTGAAAATAAGACCTGAAAAAAATTCAGGCCTGGGAATAAAGGGAATAAAGGGTTAGAATAAAGGGAATAAAGGGTTAGAATAAAGGGAATAAAGGGTTAGAATAAAGGGAATAAAGGGGTAGAATAAAGGGAATAAAGGGTTAGAATAAAGGGAATGATTGCTAATTGAACTAACATAATGAACAGCTCCCAGTTGGTTTGTTAGCTCAGTTGGTAGAGTGCTGCACCGGTGTTGCAAAGGTCACGGGTTCAAATCCCGTACAGGCCTGAATTTTTTTCAGGCCTTATTTTCACTACTGCTCAAGTAGTGCAGATTAGTGCAAGGATCACTTTCATTCAAGTAATGGTAGTGTTGTAAGATATCGACAGCTTTCATTTCTTTCTTTCCCTTGAGTAATACTGCTGAGTGATTCATGGAGATCACAAGAATAAGGGGAGTGATTGCTAACCTAAGAAGCTTTGACTGATTAACTAATCCTCCTTGTCGGTACCATGTAGGAAATTTATGAATCTAAAAGTGTGGAGAATTTGGATAACTATGTCATAGTGTAAAGGGCTAGTTCAGGCAGTAAATTGAAATGATTATGGTTTATTATTTTGCATTATTTTGTGTGCCATTTTCTCGATGATTTCAACAATAGTAGATAACAAAGAGTCTGTTTTATTTGTAGTATAAACTTCAACCATGACTCAGAACTTTTGTGTGTATCAAGTGATCATGGTACAGTTCACATCTTTGCCATTGAAGATCCAAAGAAAAATAAACAGTCAAGGTAAGGTCCTCTCCCTCCAAGGTAAATTTTTTAGATTAGCTCTAAGCATGTACATGTGCTTCACAGTGCACATAGATTTAGGATAAATACATAAAATTCATTATGCAAGTGGAAATCCAGTCTGAGCTAAGGTCCCCCCCTTGGGATTGGAGAGTTGTCCTGGTATACAGGTGTTCCCATCTGGGCTGGCAATTCGGTTTTTTAGTGGGATGTAGAAATATTGAAGTGACTTTCACAGCTGCTGCAGATTATCCAGGGTTTGTAGCATGAAGGAAGGAGAGCTAATGCTATTTTTCCTGAGAGGAATGGTACACATACATTAGTTTACCAAATGACAGGTGAACCCATGGTAAGGTTCCCTTACAGTTCACTGTGCTAGTAAATTGTATTTACCATATACTCATGAACAGTTGTCTTTTTTATGAATTCTGAGACCCTGGCTAGGAGTTGAGCCTTGACTTGTTGATGTGGAAGCCAGCACATCTTCTACATTCTCCACCTGTAACTAATCCTCCCTCCACCTGTTACTTTGCTTAGTATTTTACAAAATGTACATTTACATGAACAGTGTATACAGCTCTGGTATAATGGTATTGGAGCTCAACAATTTTGCCAGCGGCTTATATAGAGAAATGGCTTTGGAATTGTTATAAGATGAATTTATAATGTTGTATATATTTTTGATTTTCTTCTGAGCTAAAATCACATCTGTAAGCCATGCAATAAGAAATCACTGTTCATGGATACATGATATATGTGCTGCACTGCCTGTGTTCTGAATTACATAATTTTTTCCTAAATTATTTCCTTTTTTATGTCAGTCTTGCCACAGCCCACAACTTTCTTCCAAAATACTTCAGCTCTAAGTGGAGCTTTTCAAGATTTCAAGTTCCTGGTGACCCACACTGTGTTTGTGCATTTGGAAGTGAAAAAAACACTGTCATAGGTATTTCATTGTTCTTTTTAATAGAAAGCAAGGGACATACATGCATCACAACTTCAGATACATTTAAAATACTCAGGATAGGCTGTCACTGTACATGTACACTGTGCAGTCTTGTTTGGATTGTAAGCCTCATTGCTCTGCATGTGTGGAATAGTTTATAACTTAGTTACCACGTATGGAATAATTTATGACTAACGATGTAGGTCTGGGTTACTTGATGCTTCTCAGTAGAATGGTTTTTAAGTGTTATGAACTCCTTGGACAAATTCACTAAACATCAGCCAGCATTGGAAATTCATCTGGCATTTCGATAGTCACAGGTTGCAATCTCGTGAGAAGCTGCAGGAATTTTGCTTGTTCAAGTAGACTTACAAGTCTGGTAACATTGTTACTTTTTTCAGTTGATAATTTGTTTTGATCATCCGTTTCTTTTGTTGATTTCTCCGTAGCTATTTGTGCAGATGGCAGTTATTATAAGTTTGCTTTTAATTCCAAAGGAGAGTGTTCACGAGACGCCTATGCACAGTTCCTTCAGATGACAGACGGAGATTGAACTACTCGCTCATTCAATTAGTTTCTATTTCGAATCTTATGCTGTTACGAACGATCACTCTAGGATGCAAAATATATTTTTTAATTATTAGTTATGAATCACCTTTTTCCAACTTTAATGGGGAATGTTTGATGCTTGGCATGATTGGAAAGAAAATTATGTACATGAATACAACAAATGGAAAGAACTGAATGTCACCCCAAGCAATTGGTAAATTGTAGCACTTCTCGTATTTAAGTAACACTAGTAAGCTATCTCTGGTTTCTAATAGTAGTGTCGCACTTCTTTACCCTGTAGCTCACGAGAAAGTTGAAAGTATTTCAGTAAAAGATAATATATAACTGGAAAACAATTCCTGTATTAATATTAGATACTAGCAGCAGTAATGGATTGCTTTGGAACAGTGTTGACAGACAAACGTTTGGAGGACATTTTTCAGCTCTAAAACCTCGCTTCCGAGCGATGTCAAGCCCCCTTCCCCGCCAAAACACAGCGTCATAAATGAGTAGTGGCTTCGTCTCTTTTGCAAGGATGTAACAAGCTCCACAGAGGGTCTTGTAATTGGTTTGTACAATGGCTTAATGAAACGCGAAAGCGTTCCTTTTGTGAATAACTTAAAAAAATCGAATACATTTATGCGTCATTCACAAATCCATGAAAACTGAGAAATTAAAACGATTGGAATAGTGCATGTGTAGTGTAAAGAATTGTATTAGATAACTATTTTAGTATTAAAAGTTCTATCCTGTTTTTAACATGTTTACGCACAGTATATCTTGAGAGAAACTGTAATTGTTGGGGTAGCTTCGTGAAAAACTAGTCCAGGACTCATTAGGAACTCTTTTTTTTGCCTCATAAGAGATCATAACCGCTTTCGCATTTAAAAATTCCCCGAGTTTTTTTATTTTCCCATTCCATTCTGTTCGCTTCCTCGCTTCTTTCCTACTGTTCGCACACAACAGTCCTCAGCTAAGGACACGGGACGTGTTTTACAGCTTACCTTGGTATCAAATGCGGTTCTAGCAAAATAGCTATCATGTATGTTGTATAGCAGTTCTAACAGATCGGTTGCAAGCTCTTTAACCGCAGTCTTGCATACCGACGCCTGGCACGTGGTGGGTCTCTGCATGTGACAGATGGTGTCTATGTAATGAGCCATTTAGATTGTAATGAGAATACTCGTGATAGATTTCGTTTTAAAGTTTTAAATCGCTGTAGAATAATGATTTCGCCCTCTATCGCTAGAGCGGTGTGTGGAGGAAGGGAAGGGGGAGGGATCGAACTTGACCATTTCTCATACTCACAGGTTCAAATCATTTACTGCAATGAAAGTTTACTGATTCTCTATGACCCTACTAAGCGCAATTTTTCTCTCAATTCCGAAATATCAGACGCATCGATGTCCTGCTGCTGATCTAAAATACAAAAATTTGTGATTAGATGACATTACAGGTACCCGTGATAACTTAAGAGATACATGTTAGCTCGCTCATTAATTTTACAATGCAATAGCGATTTTTTAACTCGATTGTAGGACAATTTAAGAGTATTTCCCAACTAGTTCAAGAAATTTTGAATGAGAGCTGTAGATCAAAAAGGTGCGATCCTCTAACACACAATAATTTGCCAATTTTTATGTCAACAAGAACGTAACTCACTTCACATTTGTTAAAAACCATTAGCTGCTTCTATTTCATTGGTTGGAAAAGATCCGCTTTCATATTTTCATAAGTAAAACCATTAATTCAAATCGTTCAAACTGAAATTCCACACTACACCAGCCCAATAAGGTGGTTTAAAAGGAAAAGCCAATCACCACAGTTAAGCAAAAAGAATTAAAACTTTTTTCAGTGTTTGAGGCTTTTTTAATTTCTCATTTGGAAAAGGCAAATCGTTAGCCTTTTATCATGTCTTTCTAAGGTCCGACATACGCTTCTTATCACGGAGTCTATCGGCAAAGAGTAGGTGAAAAGTTTTTTTCCACAGGGCAAACAAGGAAAATGTATATTCAGCTATGTCTTCGTGATAGGATTGATCGAACAGGTCGAGACAGTGGACTTTTAGGGGAAGGAGTTACTTTTGTAATGCAGGAATTGTACACGAAAAAAAGATCGTCAAATTGAAGCTCAGTAGTTTTTTTACTTAGGTGGCTGAATTTATTCAAAGGTGCACCGGTGTGATGAAAGGAAAATGTAAACTTACACCGACAACTTTGAACGAAAGTGAAATTGACGAAAATAAGATGTCAGTAGCAGTTTGCAACAGTAATTTGCATGATTTACAGACAACAAAATTTAACCGAAAATATCTAATATCTGGTAAACTTTTTTTACAACTCCATTGCGAAAAAAAAGAATGCCGAATAATAATTTTTTTTACCATAAATGATTAATAACTTTATTTGAAAGTAGAGGGTACACACAACAACGAAGCTAACAACCAATTGGTTCTTTTAAACATGCGCATTTCGAATTATAAGTAGGAGGCGACGTAGGTTAATAACATACAAAGTTCAACAATAATTTTTTTTGCCTTTGTTGGTTCTATGGAAACAAGTTAAAACACTGTAAAAGGATACTGCAAGGTAAACTCAAATTTTTATCGCCTTCAAATTAGAGCCCTTCTGCTGTAAGATCCAATTGCAGCTTTAACATTTTCACAAAGGTAAGAGAATACTTTTATCAATGTGGCAAATCTTTGTTTTCATGACAACGGTTTTTTCCCCAGAGACAAAATTGGAACGGGATAATTTGGCAAATATTTCCATACAGATACATATGTGTATATAGTATATGTCAGTGGAACGACTCAACCTAATCAGCGACATGCAAGGTCAGGATAGTTAGGGAAACGTTGCTCGGAAAAAAGAAATGTGCATAGTTTTGCTACAGAAATATCAGCAAAAGGTACAAGAACAATTCATTAACCCGTTGTTTGCCAAAAGCCCGTTTCTGTGGCGATAGGTTAAGCTGACTTAGGAACACTTTACGTAATTTTCCTTCGCACGACTTAATTCGGCTGACATAAATATTTTCAATGCGGAGATTCTTCACTTCTAAATATTTGCGCATTTCCTGTAAGATCGATTCAGCCTTGTAAACTTACCGCATCATAATTTAGGTCACACAAAAAAGCAGTTTTCAATGAAAAACGATATCTTTGCAGCGACTCAGCATTTACCACAAGCAACCAAACTTTTTTCTCTTCGCTGTAATATTGCGATATTCGTCAACAATCCTTTAAATCTACTTTATGAATGTTCGTGCTTGTGGACAGAAAATGACTATGTTTCGCCCCTCCTTGATTAAACAAGCTCCTCATATTTCTTGTGTATGGAGTAAGTGCATTAATTGCTTCCACTATGGGAAAAAAGATAACATAAATAGACTCAATTTTTTATGTGCTACGATAGAGATGATGCTGGGGCTGATTTCGGAAAGAGAAAAATAAGTCACTTTCCCACCTTATCCACGGCATACTTTCATTCAGTGAAACTAGAGTAAAACTTGATCTGCTTGTTAGTGCTAGAATAGGAGACATATCTGAACCTTGAAAATATAACATCTTGCTCATGTTTCTGTAGATTTTAGTTTGCAACATTGCCAGATAAAACCGATACTGTTCTTTAAGCTCTTTCAGGGCTTCATAATATTCATAAATAAGTGTTTTACCTTTTCAAGCAGTTACGTGAATCAACCTCCTTGTGTTTATGTGTCGTAAGAAAAACTGGGCAGGTGTTTTGTTGAAGAGGAAATTAGGAAAACAAAAGAATATTTTCCGCCAGAAGAGAGTTGGTACTATGATCAGAGGGCCAAGAACACCACTTTTACACTTTTCTTAAATATGTAGTTCGGTGGACAAAATGCCGCTGAAACAGAAGTGGTTCTTGTGTCATATCGAAAGCTGAGGATACTACTACGATGAAATATATCTAAATGCAATAGGTATTCATAATATTTTTTTTCTCTAAAACATAATTGGCATAATTGAGCTTCTGTGGCCGTGAAAAATAGTCGATGGTGAAAGACTGAGGGAAACTGCAACACAAATCAATGCAATAAAGCATCAAATGTTAGTGATGGAAATCCTTGCTTATCGCACGGGTCCATGAAAGAGTGAGGCCGTATGTTTACATTCATGCTTTTCTCTACTCCTAATCTTTAGAAACCTGATTACAGGATTTAACGTTATTTCGACTAAGCCTTCCAATCATGTTTCTTAATTAAGCTATCGTATTTACTTGATCAAGCGCCGAGGCAATTATTCAATTTTTAGCGTTTCCGATGCGAAGTTCATAACGTTGCGGCATTTATTTCAAAATCATATTTCTCCAGGTTACCACGATAAATCATTTTGTGACTCAGAAACTTCTTTTAAGTTCTCAAGTCTCGTTTTTAGATAAAAAAATTTCGACGGAAGGCGGAGGTAACCTAGTTATATGATACTTGATATCCAATTTTACTATAAACTTCGAATAAATGCAACATTCTTCTGATTGGGTGCGGTGTATATACCAGGGCGGTGTTTACTCCAATAATATGGTTATGACGCAAAACTGTTATTGCAGATGTTGTTGCCACAGGCTCTGCTCACCGCCACGTTAGCTTTCTACTTCATGCATTCATCTCTTGGTTCAAGAAGTGTAACAGTTACTTCCACACTCACGGCAACATCAAATTCAACCATTGGCACGACCTCTCCAGTTGTAGTTAACAGCACTACTACTACCAGCACTACTATGTCCTCCCTTCTCTCTAAGGGTGGACATAGAATGACTACCGTATCAATAGCGAAGTCCGTAGATCACTCTGTCAATCAGACCTCCACTGTGTCTATTGGTTACGGTAAGAATATAACGGTACCGTTAGCAAAAATAACAACTTGGTTTGATAAATACTTACAGTTATATAAATGATACTTCGTTTGACAAATAAAAACTTATGAAGTGGTTCCACAGGAAGCCTTATTTATTATGCTCATTAGCGCTTTTTAATGAAACCTACGTCGTTCAAATGAAGACCCAAAAACCTGAATATGACCAGACTGATAAGTACCTGGATGGAAAAGTTAACGGCAACTTACATCAAATACATTTTAACCGAAAAAATTTGTTTTGCTTGATTCTGTAGCTGCAGTAAGGTGGTCTTCTTGGAGAGTAGAAAATACCGATGATTGCCAGAAGAAGTGTTGTGACACAGGGGGCCCAGTGATTCGCCAGATAAGAAATTGTACGATCATAACAGAGCGATGCATAGGTCTCAATAGATGCTCACATTATGGACCCGTGGAGCGAGATGTATCGTGTTACACAGTGTGTGATTGCATGCACAGTCTCGGTCAGTTGTTTTCATCATTTTGTTTCACTTTTGTTTGAAACCAAAGCCCTATGTCACTAACCATGTGACTGACTGAGATCCCATGTTATGGCGAAAGATAATTGAGACGTGGTAACATGTAGTGAGCCAAACATGAGAGTGGGAAATGTATCAGAGAAATTGGTATACCTAACCAAATGACAAAAACTATACAAACATCACACATTACTTTGTACGACATATTTGACTCACTTTTAGTCCCTAGAAATAAAGTTCTTTTTCCCTGTCGACAAAAGACAAGAATGTAGAAATGGTTACTAGTTTATCTCAACCATGCTTTTTTAACCCAAATATCATTTAAGATTGTATGAATATCAGGGAAACTAGTGTGTGTTTGTCTTTATCTGTTCCAGGGCACTTTTTGGCTGCTCCGGTGATTATGACGGTCATGTCCAATGTTCTAGCAGTTACTTGGTAGAATGTAGCATGCAACTAAAGATATGTACTGAGTTTGTAGCCAATCATCGTCGTGGATATGTTTTAAAGGATTTTTTTCTGTTCCCTGACCCGCGCTCATTTTGCTCTTTTTGTTAACAAATAAGCTAAAGCGAAAGTTCTTCTTTTTCTCGTCACGAGTGTGGGACAAAGAAAAAAATTCAGTCGGTCGAAGGCCGATAAACGCAAACCTAAGACTAAGTTTTAATCCGGGTTTCTTTATTTCTTTGTACAAAAGCCTTGTTGGGATAGTTTTTTCTATTCTTTTTAGAGCATCTAATAATCATATCCTAGACAAAAATAATAATACTGAATTTTCTATAAAAGCTTTCATATCTAAAATCAGATTTCACACTAATCCTGGGTTATCTTAACCCAGCTTTGAACAACCCACTCCTGAGTCTCAACAGGGAAACCAGACATTCCGATTCCGCGCGCGCTCTGATGCACTACCACTAAGACACAGACACTCCTCGCTCGGTAAACTAGGCCATTACGAAGTTAATAAGCTTAAGGTTTGCTCGTTTCTGCTTATTTGTTAATTTTTCCTTTCAGTGTCATAATAACATCACGCTGAAAAGTAACAAGTGCGAGAACTTTTTAACTAGAAGACAGAAAATCAAGCTTTCTTAAAATAAGTTTAATGTACCAGTCTTTGTCCCTTTTGTAAAATTTTATCCTATTAGTGATTAAAAAGAAGTTTTTTTCGCGTACATCATATTATTAAAAAGCTATACGTAAGGCATTACAGTAGTGGGTTAGATAAACTAAAAGAAAGAACTCAGGAGAGTTAAGCTCTGCCTCACCTGCGCTCAAATCTCATCATCGAGGTTAAATTCTTATGGTGTCGTTGGCGAGATTTTCCACAGTTCTTTAAACAGTCACATGTTGATAATTCTCACCTAGAACTATGTTTATTTAAGTCTGTTAGAGTTAAATTTTTTAAACTCTTTAGCTCGTGTTCTTTTTGGTTTTCCTAAACGGTAAATGTGTCACCAATATGACTACCATGATTGCTACATTAATTTTCGAAACTTGATTCTTTATTCTTAGTAAAATACTGTGATACAGCGCTGAGAAAAGGCCATTAAATTTACCATAAAATTCATTAATAGCAATTTTTTTTTTACTTTGTGTACCTAGAATTTTGTTTAAAAGGCATAAATGTAGATTATTGCCTACTTTACTGACACGTTAATTATGTTAAAGGTATCTAAGAGGTGAATTGTGTGAAAATTTGATTGAACTCCATTAATCTGCTTCCGATTTGTTTTCTTTTTTAACGTTGCATATTTCATGATGGTGTTACTGTATTTTTATCAATACTTCTTCTGTAATAGCCATGTAATTTTGCCGATAACCTAAAAAAGGGAAGACCTCTCTAAAAACCTTCATGCCACTTCCTTTCCTCCTTTGCAACTGCTTGAAATCTGTCTTTCAATTTAGCACAATGGAGATCCAGGATTAGTAACTTAATTGTAAGTAAGAATTGCACAAGGGAAGGGAGAGGATGGATAAAATAAATCGATTGTTGTTCGCCTCTCCTGATCAGAAGTAATATGAAAAATATGAAATTTTTCTTTTCATGTTTCCTTGAGCTATAGGTATGATCTTCGTTATTCAGAGACGTTCTTCATCTACTCCCAGGGAAATTTTCTGAAGTGAGATGAATGAGCTGATGTATACAAAACAGAGCATTTCACTTTTATCCGATCGGTGGAACGGATTATACAGCTTCTTTAAAACAAAGCTTGGTCTGAGCTTCAGATTACAGCTCGACGGCGTCCATCTGTATCGCAACCGAACAAATCTGTCTTCTCGTACTTTCTGCCTGGAGGAGTTGAGACTCGAATGTGAACATGTTCTGGTTTGATTATCAAAATCTTTAACTCAACTCAAATCTAAACTGGTTTTACTTGATATAAGATTTTAAACCTTTACCCACCCCTATGGTTAATTTAATCTTTCAGGCAATAAATTTTCTTGCGTTCTCTTGCATGGCTTTCAAACCCTACTGACCTACTTTGTTTTCTTTCGGACATATTTCCGTTACTTAAAATGTTAAATCTGGAATGTAGTTAACGTCAATAAGGACCCGAATCAACAAAGCCTATGAAGAAATTTAATAATCATATCAAATTCAAATAATTCAAATATCAGATTTTTTTAAAATTTTTTGTACCGCCACTGAAATAAACACTACAAATATGTAAATCGAGCCACGAGATACTCATGCGGCAGTCTTGGCAAATTCATCCAGCCCTTAATCATTTTGCTGAAGCGTTCTGTAACGGCCTTTGTTGGTAGCTAATTACTCAGTATCGGGATAAGATGATGTTGTTGATCTTATGACTTATGAAAAGAAAAGAAAAGGAAAGCAATTAAATAGGATGCTCTCAAGTTGCATTGAGTTGGCATAAACGACTCCAAACATATAGAACTAACACCATGCATGTTTATAACTTTCCTTTTGTTTTAATCATACATCTCTATCAGCTTGAAAATTCAAAGTTGATTTTTCGATTCAAGACAAGAATACATGTTTCTACCCGAAAATGAAGATGCCTGGTTAATAATGTTTAGCTGAAGTTTTGGAGTATAGAACACCTTCTACTCTATCAAATTGAGAAATCTTCTTCATCAATATTGCGTACTGGTCACTCTAGGAAGTTTAAGCTTTTACTCTTGCTGATTTGCAGACAATGAAAGATAGAGGTGAAAACTGTAGATTAAAACAGATATTTCAAAGACAGTCACAGATTGTGTGGGCGAGCAGAGTGATTATTCGCAAAACCCACTGTTAAGTACCAACGCGCTTGTAAATAATACAATTACCTACAGCCACTCGAATGTTAAAAAAAAATTATTTTAAATATTTCGTTTCCCAATCGAAATAAAGAGAATTTGATAAGATAATCTTGGGTTTTGAAAATGTAAATAAAGACGAGAAGCGGTATCACAAGAGCATACACCAAGCTTATTATTTGTAATCGCATTTTCAGGCTTTCCTGATTTACACAGACCCTTAAATTTCAATTTGACATTTTTGCTTCAATTTTCATCATCGATAAAAATGAAAGCACTTTTTACTTTCCTTATAGGTTTGAATTCATGCATAGAAAGGGAAATATGGTTACACGATAGAAAAAAAAAACATTCCCACACGGCTGAATTACTTAGTTAGGGTGTATTTTCTAAGAAAAGAGTGATAAATAAGTCTTTTTCTTGTGTAATAATGTTGTTGTCATTTATTAGTAGGTGGATTGATAATTTTTTAGATCTTCCTTTCAGAAATGAAAGTTCATAAATTATTAGCTAAAACGCCAAAAGCAGCCAATTTACTCTACTCTGAACGATCGAGTAAATAATTAATTAGTGGAAAGAGTGGTTGTAAATTCAAACAAAATGTATTATTACTTTTTATTGTGCATGAACTTGACCAGAAAAAATTGTAAGTTTCCTCTGAAGGTCTGGTTGAAGAAAGACGATTAGAAATACTGTTTAAATAAATGTATCTTCACAATTTCCCACGCGAGAATGTTCAGGAAAGCCGATCCCTGTACAAGCAGGTGGAAATTTGTGATATTTTTCAAGATGTTTTGTCGCTTTTGATTGGATGTTAGGCGCCAAAGCTAATTGGCTCGTGTTTTAATAACAGTTAATTGGCTCGTGTGCTAATAACGTTTAAGACCTCCAACACATAAATTGTTTGCGCGAAAGCCTGAAGCTTCTATTGAAGAAATTTCATTTACAAGTCAGAGCGCTTTCCCCGATGTTTGAAATGGACGGGTCTTCAAGATAACATGTAATCTGCCGGTTAAAACACTTGACCTTTCTGAAGAAAGACGCTAAACGAAATTCAGAATTGATTTAAATTGAAGACAATTAATGAGAAGCGCCAACTCGAGTGTAAAGGAAACAGACTCAAAGTAATTCGTTATGAGCGAGTCGAGATCATCTTCACCCCTTCTGGGGAAAGAAAGCAAATCCAACCAAGAAGGCTCCGGAAATGAGTTAGAAAACAAAACTTCTTCTCTGGAAGCATTTTTCAATATCTTTAATGCCAACATGGGCACTGGGGTTCTAGCTATGCCGTATGTTATACGTCTGACCGGCTACTGGGGAGTCATTCTCATCATTATTATCGCTGCTCTCGGTAATTATACGGGCAAACTTCTGATCTACTGTCTTCGGGAGGACACTGCTTATGAAAACCTCTCAAAGGCCACTTACGCCGACCTGGGTGAAGCATTCTGGCCCCGATATGGGCGCGTCATGGTGCACATTACTAACTTCTTTGAACAGTTCTCGCACTGCACTCTATTCCTTATCATGTGTGGGACTGTGCTGCACCACACGTTTCCAGATAGCTTCGTGTCAGAGAGCGTTTGGATCGCGGTGGTCTCCATTGCTGTGTTGCCGTGTGCTGGCGTCCGTACAATGAAGCACATCTCTTGGATCAGTATCTTAACTGTTATCGTGGCTCTGGTCACTTCGACCTGTGTGTTGGTATTTGCTCTGGCTCACTTTCAACAATGGAGGACTCACGAACTAGCTCCACTGAAATTCAAAGAAATGTCCATTGCCATGGGAATCATCGTGGTAACCTATTCATCACAGGCTTATCTACCTATCATCGAAAAGTCCATGCGGTATCCAGGAGAGTTTAACGCCATCATGGATTTCACCTATACTCTGGTTACCATTATCAAATTCAACTATGGAATCCTGGTGTTCTTCTGTTTCAGGGAACACACAGAGCAGATTATGACACTTAGTGTCCCACATGGTGCGTTCCGCATCACTCTTTCTCTCGCAGTTATCGTCACAGCACTTCTGTTTTATGTGGTTCCCATGTTCACGCTGTATGACATTTTTGAACACCAGCTCAATATTCCTCTGTTTGCTGAACTCAAAGATGAGCCTCTCCGATGCAACAGGAATTCCATGCCAAAACTGGTGTTCAGGTTCATGTTTATTTTGCTCTCTACTCTTGTGGCAATTTTCGTGCCTCATTTCGGTTTACTAATGGCCTTTGTCGGCAGTTTCACCGGCACCATTTTAGTGCTTATATATCCGTGTCTTTTTCATATTAAGCTTCACTATTCCACTATGCCTTGGTATCATATATTGTTCGATGTGTCAATAGCTGTGTTTGGTTTAGTAGGCTGTTTATGTGGGGTGGTATTTTCTTCCATTCAGATCGCTAAAGAGTATGATTTTTATAGAATGTGGGGAATCGAGCCGGATGAGTAACGAGGCTGGAGACTTTTGTTTCACATAAAAGAAAAAGTATTGTTATCTCAAAAATATCAACAGCTGGGAGACTATTTCAGATTTAAATCTTGACTGACGTCAGAGAGCTTTCAAGATGGAAATAAATAACCATTCACTCTCATTTTTGTTTTTCTGAGCGGAAACGTTTCCTTGGAAAATATGTGAGTCTTATCGCGCTAGCGCTACTGACTTAAACAAGAAACTAAAAACCAGAGAATTTTGATTCAAAGGGAATAATATATGTATTTTGATATCCTCGGCCTTACTATTTTAATTTTGGGACGGTTTGTAGCGGTCACGAAATGCTAATCAGTCGTTTTTACAATCGAGCCGGTACAGCTGGCAACTTTGACCCTAGCTTTATTAATAAAATAACTCTTGGTTTGCAAGAATGGAAATAACTTCTTAATGTGGGAATATTTTCTAGAATTGCTACATTTCGGTGTTCAACTCGTAGACTTAAAATGCTGACAAGGATTCGAATTTTTATTTTAATCTAAATGAGGATGTGAAAATAGGATCGAGGAAATTGAGAGCAAAGGCGACCAAATGTTGTGGCAAATGAATTCAGAATATAACGTGTGTGTCACAGGAGTATAACGATGTTAGTTATTATCATGAAAGAAATATAATAAAAATTCATTTCAAGGGACTATTAGCTTTTATAAGTGAAGTAATACTTTACTGCGAAGAAAGATACCAACACATAGCTGAACTAAAAAATATTATATTTTGATTAAAGAGAGATAAAAATCCATTTCTAACCAGCTCGCCAGGGTAAGGATGTTCGGATAAACGCTCCAACAGAACAGAAACGGAAAAAGCTCTTAAAAGGCGAGGAAGGTCATATACTCAGAAAAAATCACACAGGAAGGAAGTTTATAGCGAAATTTTGTTCAGCCAGAGAAGGTACCTTACGGCTCACACTTTTTAATCAATTTTAAAAATGATTGACTTGGTTACATCGTAGAAACATACTGTACAAGACTGGTCCTTTCTTCAAATGGATTCTTAAAATTATTTCATTAAGTATTATTTTTAGCGAGCTTTCTCTTAACCCTTCAACCCCTAACAGTGATCAGCTTCTAATTTCTCCTTACGATATCACCCCTGAATGAAACACTAGGGTCCCAGGAATCAAGGAAATGATCACAAACCTGGGAAGCTCTTGATTTTTAAACAAATTCTCCTTGTCAGCGATTCAGGAAATGAAAAGAGAATAGCTACGGAATCAGCGGCGAAAGCGCACGACGTTTCGATAATTCATGACTGTAATTTTTAAGGCCAAGGTAGAACCCGAATTAACGTCGTAATTTCCAAATGCATCTGTGAAAGCGCTAATGTGGAGTAACACACTACGAACATTTTTTCACGTGTACAAAGAAGAAAAACACTCCTATTAAACAATAACGACCCGCGCATGAATTTTGTAAAAGAAGATTTCGTATGGATTAAGGTGCATGTCCCCACTTCTGGGGACTTGCACTCTTGTATTTTAATTAAGAGTGTGATGGTATTTTTTTTTATTGTTTTTGTTTTGTTTTGTTTTTTTTAATCAAAGCCTTAAAGTAATGTAAGCTGGTGGTATCCGCCGCTTTCGCTCCCTATCGAGTTCGCCCCTACCTTATACCGTGTTCGCCCCCACACTTTTCGAGTTCGACCCCCACCAAGTCGAGTTCGCCCCCAGATTGAGTCATGTCTAAATTAGTTGCTATCGAACATTGCAAACAAGTTAGAACCAAGTTTATCTACCGAACATTTCGTGTTCGTTAGATAAATCGAGGTTGGTTTGCATCTTTTCCAGTCTGAATAATAAGTTAAGCAATGTTGTTTTGATTAAGTGTGGTTCTCTTTATCACAAGTTCAGTTTATACAGTTATTTCTGGTATTCCCAGATCCCACGCATAGTATTTAGTTGAATCCGTCAACCCAGTTCCCAAACAGGTTCACGCAATTGCCGAAATTCAAAATGGTCGTCGCTGACGTGACATTTGGCACATTCTGCTAGTACCTTCGTCACAAATCAACTCATCTGGATATCACTCAATCAAGGGGCGAACTCGACTTGATGGGGTCGAACTCGAAAAGTGTGGGGGCGAACACGGCATAAGGTAGGGGCGAACTCGAAGGGGCGAACTCGATAGGGGGCGAACGCGGTGCAATTCAAGCTGGTAGAGAGAGTCGAGGCAGTTCAAGCGTACTGTCTAGCATTGCGTTTCTACTTTAAATTAACATAGCTTGCTGACTTTCTGTTGCTCTCCGATACCACACATGACTGCGTTTGCTGCGAGGAAAGAATAAGCAATCCCAAGGCAAAGCCATCCTTGGAATCGAACATTAAAATTCCCTTTGAAATTACACAATTGATACCTAATGGTAACTGACTCACTGCTCAACCAGATCCGTGCGTGCTATAGTCAGATACCTTTTGCCCTTCATAACCGGAAAATCAATTTTCATTTGCATGAAAGTATTTCTCAATAGCATTTGCATAAAATCAGTTTAAATAAGACGCGACCCATTTTAAATTGTGCGATACTCATTAACGCAATTTTCATCGAAACGACGATTCCTTAAGACGTTTCAACGAAAACAACAAAGGATTCATATTTCTTGAATTCAAGTTCAATTGGGTGAATAAAATTTCAATTACAAGGGAACGCCCTTTTGTGAATTTTCACATCAAATTCCCTTTGGGCTCGAAGCGGAACGAAAACAAAACCTGTGCGTAAAATCTTCTCTTAGAATGGAGCGTAGGGTTGAACGACAGCGCAGAAATCGTGTCCCAAACGAGCAACGGGAGAGAATAGTGGTCAATAGTGAGAGCGTTCGAAGATCCCCATGTAGGTTCATGAACGATTTGAAGCACTGTGGCAAGGTTCCTCCGAGAAGAACGTGCGCAGGAGAGACCACGTGACGGCCGCAATAATGTGAAGGTGGATGCTTACTTCGAGTGACATTAACCAGGAGCTTCGAAGAGGACTTCTGGCTAAGTTATTTGTAAACGATAGGACTGTTAGAAAAGGTCTTTACAGTATGCTGATATGTACTAAACCTGCAAAGCCTTTACAGTACCAGCTGACCAAAACAGGCCGGAAGTCATCCGAAGTCGAGCCGATAACGGAAACTGGTTCATGACGAACGGAATTCTTCAAAACTACGTATTGACCGATGAATGCAGATAAGGACACTTAGAAGCTATTGGCGCGCCAGAGTTGGTGAAAGACGGAGCTAACAGACAAGTCCTTGCTCAGTTTGGAAGAAATGTAACAAGAACTTTAGCCGTGTCTCCAACCGCTGGCTTGGTCCATTACACTACTGTAGTAGTGGAATGAATACACGAGCATTCAGTGACTTACCGCTCAAGCTCAACGTCAACTTAACCCGGACGAACCGTGGTGTTTATGGAGCTCCAGCACACCGAAATGCTGTTAACCCAGCAGCCAATACATAGCTTACGACGCTGCCTGCTTAAAGCCCTTTTCTCAACGTAGTGGAAAATGCAATCAGTGCCCTCAAAGCGGCAATAAAGGCAGAAGTGTCAAGACCCGCAGTTCAGCAACAGCTGAACGATAGAGAGGAGGCAAAACGGTAGGCAATAAAAAAATTATTTTAAGAATAGGGAGGAGATATATTAACTCTATAACAGTTAGAAAGATTGCCCAATGGTTTAGATTTATGCAAACCTATATACTACGATGTCTTAGCAGTGAGCATCTCGAAGTATAAGCATAAAAGTAAATAGAATTTTCATTACCCTTACATCATGTATTAAACGATATTTTGTAGTTAATGAAATTTCTTTCTCGTAAATGAACAATAAGAGGCAGCAATTGTTGGTACATTATCTTTAACGATTGCTATTCCCATTGAAGTAAAAATACATCTGCCTTAATAAAACCAAGCGAAATGTTGTGTTTCAGGGTTTAGGTGTCTGATCAAAGCATGTTGCAACTGTAAAAGAATTGCAGAAATAGAGCTGTTTATGCAGCCAGAACGGTGGTAATTGTTGCGACTAGAAATGGGGGGG